AACCCTAAACCCTAAACCCTAAACCCTAAACCCTAAACCCTCACAACGTGGACATTTCGGAAGATCCTTCTGGCTTCTGCGTCCGAATGGACCCGGTGAATTTTCCAGCTCGAAAAGCTCGGGCTTTTGCTGCTGCCCTAAAAATAAAATAAAATAAAATAAAATAAAATAAAATAAAATAAAATAACAAATAAATAAATAAATAATAAATAATTCATTTGATATTTATTTATTCACCTATTTATATATATATGTATATATTTACTTAATTAGTTAACCAACTAAATAATTAATTAATTGATCATGTATTTATTATTTATATATATAAGAAATTATTTATTAAATAAATAAATAAACAAATAAATAAATAAATAAATAAATAAATAAATTGATTATTTAATTCAATTTGATCTAACTCCACAAGTTGAGTCCACTCTTATTCTTCCGTTCCTTCCACTCATCTCAACTCAATTTAATTAATTAAATTAAATCAAATTAATTAAATTAATTAAATTAAACTAAAATTAATCAAATTAAATTAATTAAATTAATTAAATTAATTAAATTAAATTAATTAAATTAATTAATTTAATTTAATTTAATTTACACTCCAGCAAAGACAGCATTCTTCTCGAGAGGCTTCTTCTTGGGTTTCTTCCTCTTCATCCGAATCCTGAAGACAAAATTATTCTTTTTTTGCAAAAAAAGAAATTTAATTGCAATTTAATTGCAATTTAAATGCAAAATTAAACAATTTGTTTATTTATTTGCTTATTTGTTCATTTATTTGTTTATTTCTCTTCATTTTGGCGAAAAAACGAAAAAAAATGTCCAAAAAAACCAAAAGTGTCAAAAAATAAAAACAAACGCGCGCAACGATGAACCCGCCAACAGGCCCGCGTGGGAAATAAATAAAACGAATAAATAAAAATAAATTAACTAAAATAAATTAATTAAAATAAATAAATAAAATCTACTAATTAGAATGAATTAAATTAAATTAAGTTAAATTAAATTAAATTAAAATGAAAAGAAATAAAGTTAAAAGAAAAGAATAAAGGAATAAATGATTAAATGAGTTTAATGCATTTGAATGGCAAAGCTAAAATGGAAAATTTGAAATAAAAAGAAAAAGAATTAAAAGAACATTTGAATGAATAAAAGTAAGTGAATAAAAGAGTTGAATAAAATTCTTTAAGTGAATTTTAATTAATTGAAATTAATTAATTTGAATTAATTAATTTCGATTAATTAATTCAAATTAATTAATTAATTAATTCATTAAGTAATTAATTAAGTAATTAATTAATTTGAACTACTTAATTAACTAATTAAAATTAATCTGAATTAATTATTTGATTAATTCAGATTAAATTAATTTGAACTAATTTGAATTAATTTAAATTGATTCAAAAGAATTAAAACTAATTGCAATCAATCTCATTTAAAGGCAGGCCTTTCCTGAAAACTCTGGGGCTTCCCGGCACCAATTTAAGCTCATTTTTTCTGGAATTTGTTGCAAATAGCGAAGTGGAATCAAATCTAATCGAATAAAGAATTAAAAGCTGTTCAATTGCGTTAAATTTCGTCCAAAAGGACCTTTTTTTGGCTTTTTTTTGCGTTTTTAATTCACCTCTTCGAGCCCGCCGCCCCCCAACTCCGCCTCCACCCATTTTATCCGCCGCAGCATCAGCGCCTTCAGCCGCTTTATCGATTTGTTCGATCCTGAATTTAAAGTTCATTTTTAGTTCATTTTAATTCATTTTCGATCCACTTTTAGCCCATTTTTCATTCATTTTCTATTTAAATTCAATTCTAATTCAAAAAATGGTTTATTTGGCTTTTAAATCAAAAAAAAATTTCAAATATTCGAAAAAAATTCAAAATTTGAGTTTTGAAAAGTGGTTTTCGGTTTAATTTCATTTCATTTTATTTTTTATTTTTAATTTCATTTATTGAAATTTTGTTTTTGGATTTAAATCCTTTTAAATCTTTTTTATTTAAAGCTTTTTACTTATTCTTTTTTATTGTTTGAATCTTTTATTTATTTAAATCCTTTTTACTTATTTGACGCATTTTATTATTTAAATCTTTTTGTTTACTTAAGTGCTTTTCATTCAAAACCTTTTTGATTCAAAACCTTTCAACATATTAAATAATCAATTTAAAGTAATTAAATACTTAATTAAATTAAACCAATAATTAAATTAAGTTAAATTAAATTAAATTAAATTAAATTAAATTAATTAAATTAATTAAATTAATTAAATATTTAACTTACCTTCGAAGACAATTACATTCCAGAAAGGGGCGGGGGGAATAACACAAACTCCAGTGACATGAAACTGTTTGGCATTTGTATCAACCTGAAAATAAATAAATAAATAAATAAATAAATTAAATAGATTAATTAAATTAAATTAATTAAATTAAATTGAAATAGATGAAGTGGGCTTTGAGAGCAGCTCGCTGCAAGGGTTTGGGGTTTGGCGCGCGCGAGGGTTTTCTAGGGTTTAGGGTTTACTGGACTGGTAGGGTCTGAGGGTTTAGTCAAACCCTAAACCCTAAGCGCTAAACCCTAAACCCTTAACCCTGAACTAATTTGTTGGCTACCAGGTGTTCTTTACGCGTACTAGGGTTTAAAGCGACCGTTGCCCCTCAAACCCTAAACCCTAGACTACTTACTAGGGTTTATTAGGGTTTATTAAGGCTCATTAGGGTTTAGGGTTTTGGGTTTAGGGTTTCTGACCTTAAACAAATGGCGTTTGTTCGCCAAAGACTTGACTCGGAAGACAGCGACGCTGCACAAGTTGTTCTGCTTCAGCTGCACCGCAAAACCCTAAACCCTAAACCCTAAACCCTAAACCCTAAACCCTAGTGCGCCAGAAAGCGCTTCGAAAGCCCAACCGCGAGCAGCAAACCCTAGCAAACCAATTAACCAACCAAATAATAAAATAAATAAAAAAATAAAAAAATAAAAAAGTAAATAAATGACAAACCCTCCATTTATTAATTGTCTTTTTCGTTTTTTCTTCTTTTGTTTTTTTCCTTTCTTGATTTCTCTTTTCGTGGCCTTCAACCCTCGCGGCCATTTGCTCTCGGACTTTCTTTTCAGTTTTCGAAGGGTCCTGAGTTAATAAAAAAGAAATAAAATAATTAAATTAAAATTCGTTAACCAACCATTTAGGGTTTAGGGTTTAGGGTTTGCGCCCCAAATAATTTCAAACGGGGGTCTACGCAGTTCGCGGCAAGAAAATCCATGCGGAAATGCACAAAATAAACTCTAAACCCTAAACCCTAAACCCTAAACCCTAGGCCCTTAACCCTGAGCACCAAACCCTAAACCCTAGACCCTAAACCCTAGAGCTTGAACAAACAGACGCTGCCACCGAACGAGGGGGTACAGCGCCGCACTATCAGGAAATGCTAGCACTAGGGTTTAGGGTTTGGGGTTTAGGGTTTAGGGTTTGGTGTTTAGGGTTTGGGTTTTGTCTCACAGCTACTGCAACATCCCCCAAAACCCTCATGAGGTTGCTTAGTTTGCACTTGGGGGGAGGCGGCGGCAGCAGACCTGAACAAAATAAAACAAATCTAGGGTTTAGGGTTTAGGGTTTAGGGTTTACAATAAGTCGGCTTATTCCATCAAATGAATTAATTATGAAATTATCTTTCTGAATCAAAAAACAACTGAGTTAAATTCAAGTGAAGAAGGCGCAGACAAACCACAAGACAAGCACCTAGGGTTTAGGGTTTAGGGTTTAGGGTTTGCACCCATTCGAATCTTGTCCTGCTTTTCCCTTTCTCTCTCCTGGCGTTTTCTGCGCCGAAGTTTTTTTCTGAAAAAAATAGAATGCAAAAAATAAAAAAGGATTTAAATGGAAAAATGGATTAACAGTTCTAAACCCTAAACCCTAAACCCTAAACCCCAAACGCTAAACCCTAAACCGCAGACCGTAAAACCTAAAGAAATGAAGCAGATGTTAGAAAAAGCACCCAAAGCCCTAAACACTAGACCCTAAACCCTAAACCCTAGACGCTGGATTCAGTAGGTAAACCCTAAACCCTAAACCCTAAACCCTAATTCCTGGACGCAGCAGCTAAACCCTAAACCCTAAACCCTAGAAAACCCGCATCCAAAGCCCTAAGAACTTGGAGCCCCTGCGTCCGGCGTGCGGCCTGGCGCGCACAGCCTAGGGTTTAAAAACTAGGGTTTAGGGCTTAGGGTTTCGGGCTTAGGGTTTAGGGTTTAGGGTTTAGGGTTTACCTTTCTGCTGGGGTCAAGTACATGTTGACAATGGCCTCGCCCTTCGCCACGGTGGCTATGGGGGGCGGGTGTTCAATAAGAGCATCAATTTTTGTCTAACAAAATAAATAAATAAGTAAATAAATAAATAATTAATTAATTAATTAATTAAATTAATTAATTTAATTAATTAATTAAACTAATTAATTAACTCATTTGGTGTTCAGTAAAGGGCAAAAAAAATCCGCAGAAAAATATCCCCTAATGGCCGCCTGGGGTGCGCTAGATGTCTTTGCTGCTGCTGCTGCTGCGCTGCTGCTGCTGCTGCTGCGTTGCTGCTGCACCTCATCTATCTCGTAAGCCTTCGTCTTTGTTTGTTTTAATAAAGGCAAATCCCACGGCTCCACCGCAGGGCAGTCCGACAGCTGCAGCAGCAGCAGCAGCAACAGCAGCAGCAGCAGCAGCAGCGGTAGGAGGCGCAGGGAGGTGCGGAGCAGCGGCGGCGACAGCAGCAACAGCAGCAGCGGCAGCAGCAACAGCAGCAACAGCACCGGGAACAACAGAAGAAGGAATGACGGCAATAGCAGCAGCAAAAGCAGCAGCAAAAAGAGCAGCAGGAACTGCAACAGCAAAAAGAGCAGCAGCAACTGCAGCAGCAGCAAGTTACCCAGATCCTTGCCAAATCTGGTGCTGCAGTCTCAAGTTTCTCTTGCGGGGAAACTTCAGTCTTTGTGTCTGTTCCTGCTGCAGCTTCTGCTGCTTGCTGCTGCTGCTGCTGCTGCTGCTGCTGCTGGTAGGCAATCATGTTTTCCTCCAGCCGCACATAATGTCCCTTAGGCAAAAACTCCAGAGCCTTGCGCTTGCGCTGCAGCAGCAACAGCAGCAGCAGCAGCAGCAGCAGCAGAGCGCGCCGTAGGTATTCGGCAGTGAAAGACTGCTGCTGCTTCTGCTGCTGCTGCAGTTACTGCTGCAGCAGCAGCAATAGCAGCCGCAACAGCCGTACTACCAGCAAAAGCCAACGCAGCAGCAGCAGCGGCAGCAACCAGCAGCAAACATGCTGAGCAGCAAGGCACCGACAGCTACTGGAGCATATCCTACATCCAGCAGCATCACTAGCAGCAGCAGCAGCAGCAGCAACAGCGGCAGCAGCAGCAATACCTGGTTTCTAGCTGTCTTGGTTTGAATTGTTGGGTCATACCACGGGCAAGTGGTTGGATCTTCATAGGTAGTCTCAGCAGCCTGCAGCAGCAGCAGCAGCAGCACAGCAGCAGCATCAGCGTCTGCAGCAGCAGCAGCGTCTGCAGCAGCAGCAGATCCTCACCGTCCGCAGCAGGCGCAGAAACTGCAGCAGCAACAGAGGCAGCAGCCGCAACACCTCGGCTACCACCACCACTTGCTGCAGCAGCAGCAGCAGCAGCCACAGCAGCAGCCACAGCAACAGCAGCAGCAGCAGCAGCAGCAGCAGCAGCAGCCATAGCAGCAGCCACAGCAGCAGCCACAGCAGCAGCCACAGCCACAGCCACAGCAGCAGCCACAGCCACAGCCGCAGCCACATCA